TAAAAGATGAAAATATAGAAGATGACAAGAAGAGTGTAAAAGTTAAACAGATTGTCTCATATACATTTAATGAAGAGTATCAAAATAAAAGAGAAAAGGGGTTATCAAGGCAATATCTAAAGAAATAATGTTCCAAGAATGATGAAAGAAAGACATACTTCACAGATTCAAAACCATCCAACAAGTCTGAGCAAATTAATGTTTTTAAAATTACCTTCTGACACATCATAGTAAATATGCAGAAAACAGAAGACAATGAGAAACTTTTAAAGTACCAAGCCGAAAAAAACAAATTCATCTTGATGAAATGACATTAAATTTCAGGTAACCTCTCAAGAAGAATGATGCAAACTGTGAGACAGTGGAATGAATAAACGATGTGCTAGGGAAAAAATGAATAAAGGTAATAAAGGCCCAAAGAGTATTCCATTTTAGTTTTAGGTATCTTTCAAGAATAAGAATAAAATAAAATACAGTTTCTAAGATGTGGTAATAAAAATGTCCTGCAGTCAGTGCAACTTTTTAGGATGCTTGACTCATTTCAATGTCCACTTTGAAAATAACTACTTTCAAGGTAAAAATAAATTTTAAAAAATATGATAAAATATATTCAGATAGATAAAAGCAGAATTGTCAACAGCAAAATCTCAGTAATGGAAATTCAAAAAGTTGTACATCGGGTAAATGAAAAACAAGTCCAGATAAAAGGTCTAACAAGCAAGTAGCATTAAAAAAAATAATAATAAATAAACGAGGAAAGAGGAGCAGCAGGTGGTATAGTGGTTAAGGTGCTGGACTGACCACATGGCTGATTGCATTTTGAGTCCCAGACCTGATGGCCTGAAAATTACACCAGGGGCATGTGCATGCATGCCCCAAATCCCAGGAGGAGAATGGAGTAGAAGGAATTTTGGTATGGTCATCTTCCAAGAAGGGTGATTTCTCATTTTTTCTCTTCCTCTGTCTCTCTTCAGCAGGTACACAACCCCTATGGCAAAAAAAAAAAGGCAAAACCAACCAACCGACAAACAAACAGAAAAAGTGATAAAAAATATATATATAAGAACATTGGCTACTTAAAATACTAATGAAGTCTAGTTGACATTTTTAAAAAATACACAAGCTAGAATTAAAATAGCAGATAAGATTTGAAGAAAAAAAAAAAATTCATACTGGGGCCAGCAGATGGCTTAGTGGTTAAGGCGCTGGACTCCCACCTGGCCAACCACAGCTTGAGTCCTGGACTCAACAGCTTGAAACTCCTTCCAGGCACCTGTGTATGTGTGCCCAAAATTCCAAGAGGAGAATGAAGGAGAAATGACTGCAGCATGGCCATCCCTGTAGGGGGTGATTTCTCACTTTTTGTTTATCTGTCTCTCCAGGGAGCACATGTGTCCTATAGTAAAAATCTCTCTAAAAAAAAAAATCACACTTAATCATGAAATATTTAAGTTTTTTCCTTTCAAATTGAGATGGAGACAAACATATTTCAAATTAATAAGAAATTGTAACAACATTTCTATATATATAAAATCAATTGCATTTTATTTTCAGGTAACAGAAAACATAATTTAAAAATCTACATACACATACAATTTTTAATAGCATCGAAAACACTAAATACATAGAAATAAATTGAACAAAAGATAGACAATACCCTTATAGTTAGAACATTAAAATTTATTGAGAAATTTTATAAGTAACTGAATAAATGTAAAAGTATGTTTCATTCACAGACTGGGATGCTAATTATGATAAAGATGTCAGTTCTCCCCAGATTAACAAATATGACAATAATAAGAATTCAGGTAGAAAAATTCAAGTAGAAAAATGAACTAGAATGATACATGACACAATTATAGTTGAAAGTTCATGTGGGTAAATGGTTTCCACTTCCACTTCATCTGTTGAAATATTGTTTATTAAAGAACAGGTTTTAAAACAAACATAATAACAAACATGATTTTGTCTGCTTAGGTTGTTATAACAAAATAGCATCAATAAGAAGCTATAACCATGCTATTTCTACACACACAGTGCTGGGAATCAACTCAGGGTACCAGCGCTATCTGGTTCTGGTTAAGGTCCCTTTCTTGATTTTCATGTAACTGTGGATGCTTCCCACTAATCCTCACATGGAGGGGAGAGGAGCTCTACTATCTCTCTTCGTAAGGACACTTATCCCATCACGAGGGCTCTAACCTCACCACCTTATCTAAACCTAATTACCGCCCAAAGACCCTACTTCCTGGTACTGTCATGGTGGAGTTAAGGCTTCAATATATGACTTTGAGGGAGGCACATTTAAGTCCATGACAACATGTCAACCTATTAACTACTATTGTGTTTTCATTAATACTTTTTATTTGTAAGTTCTTAACAATAGCTTAAAATTTAAAATACATGCAACTTTTAAATTATAAACAAACTTTGATCTGGTAATTTCATTTTAAAGACTTTTTTAAGCATGTAAGGTTTTAATGTTACATATAATAGTTTAATACATGGAAAAACAACAGCACTGAATGTTCCACCTCATAACAAAACCAAGCAATTTAAAAGCCTGTGTTAATTGAGGGACCAGCAGTTGGCATAATGGCTATGTTGCTGGACTCCCATGCAGTCAACTGAGGTTCGAGTCCTCGACTCCATGGCTTAAACTCACACCAAGCGCGTGTGTGTGCATGCCCAAGATCCCGAGAGTAGAATGGAGGAGAAGGGATTGCAGCTTGGCCATCCCCCCCATCATGGAGGATGATTTCTCACTTTCTGTCTCTCTGTCTCTCTCTGTCTTTCTGGCGGGTGCACATGCCCTATAGCAAACACCTCTCCAAAACAAAATTTTAAAATAAAATAAAATAAATTTAAAAAGCCTATGTTAATTGAGACTAGCAGATGGAATAATGGCTACATCACTGAACTCCCAAACAGTTGACTGTGGTTCAAATCCCGGACCTGGGAGCTTAAAAGTCACGCCAGGTGCATGTGCTTGCATGCCCAAGATCCCAAGAGGAGAATGGAGGTGAAAGGATATTGGTGTGGCCCTCGCCCTGGGGGGTGATTTTTCACTTTCTGTCTCTCTGTCTCTCTCTTTCTCTCCAACAAACACATGTGCCCTATAGAAAAATCTTTCTTAAAAAAAAGAACTGTGTTAATTGAGGTAATTGTTAATGATGTTTAAGACGTATCCAGAAGTTTCTTTTTTTAACCATTAATATAATTTAAAAATATATTTTATACATTTAACAACATGCAGCTATGTTTTCCTAATATGAAAACAATAGACATTTGATAGAAATTAAAATTCCTTAAAATGTGTTCCATGAAAATGCTTATATAAGTAGTGGTGGTAGTGCTACTTTGCCCCAATATAGAGTCACACTGCACATTAGCCTATTTAAAAACCAGGGACTCCTAGAATAAAGAACACTGTTTAACTTTTATGAAGCTGGAGGCTTTTTTAATTTGTTAAACAAAAGCCTACCCCTTATTTTTTAGCATAATATCTGTTGCTATCTGGTTTGTAAGATTCTAGCCTTCTAAATACAATGATCTTTGTGAATTACAGTATTATTATATTGATCTTATATAATCAGTTTTTCACTGTGTACATAATTTTTGTGCTAATGTTTCTTACGGTAAACATTTCCATAGTATTCTACTGTTTATGTATATTTAATTCACTTGGCCATTCTGTTATTAAGCATCTGGATGATTTGCAGATTTAACTGTAATAAATTCTGCTCTGAACATGTTGCACAAATTATTTTTCCCCTATTGATCTATACTCTGTCAGGGAAAGAATTACCTAGTCGAAGTTTATTTAGGTTCTATTGTTTGTTATTTCTAGTGCCCTTGGCCATTTAGACCCGCGATCTTTTCGGCTCATTGCTTCTACACACATTACATATGTTTACAGGAGCACAGCAAAACCATTCCCTTTCATGGGGGGCAATTCATTATAAATTTCATTTTCCTCTGCAGGGTCCTGGATGAAAAACACCTTCTCCTGACCCCTTTTAAAAATGTTGATCACTGTAGTGGTGGGACAAGGGCACAGGGGAAAATAGCTAGAGAAAAAGAAGTGCGCTTTCTGTGATGGTCAAACCTTTGTGAAAACTCCTTGGAGTTGTTCTTCTACTCATATTTAGAAACTTTATACGAAAGAAATCATTTGAAATACAGGAAAACACTTCATTGCAGCTAAATTTGAAAAAGAAAATGACTTAGAAATAACTAAGATGCTTCACAACAGCAGCTGTCAAATACTTTCATGCATTTTATGGTTTACTATGGCAATTTAAATATATATGAGTATAGGAAGATGATTATTTCAAGAAAAACACATAAAATTCAATTATTTAGAAAGTGTGTGATAATTACAAATACATGAGGCTATTTTAAAAAGAGTAAACATCGAGACCAGCAGATGGCATAATGGTTACATCGCTGGACTCCCACATAGTTGGCCATGGTTTGAGTCCCAGACCTAGCAGCTTGAAACTAATGCCAGGTGCCTGTATGTGTGTGCATGCCCAAAATCATGGGAAATGGAGGGGAAGGGATTGCAGCATGGTCATCCTCCTTGAGAGGTGATTTCTCTGTCTGTCTCTGTCTCTCCAGTAAGTGCACATGCCCTATAGCAAAAATCTCTCCAGAAAAAAAAAAGAGTAAACATCAGGCCAGGCCAGCAGGTGGTGTGGTGGTTAAGGCGCTGGACTCCCACATGGCCAACTGAGGTTCGAGTCCCAGACCTAGTGGTTTGCTTTCTCACTTTATGTCTTTCTCTCTTATGAGTATAAGTGCTCTATAAAAATTTTAAAAAATAGTAAATAAAATTAATCATTTTAAAAAAATAGAGTAACTATAACATTTCCATCCTTGGTTAGAAAACTACAGGTGATTCCTCCCCCTCCCCCCAATTTTCTGTATGTTTGAAATTCTGTACAATGTATATGGGTCCTCTACTTTAATAATATGAAAATTTTTTTCCTGCTTACCTTGATTTATGACTTCTTTCTGTACTTACATTTTGTAAGTTATATTTAAAAAGATTTTCATAAGAAGAAGATATTCCTCCAAATGTATTAACTGCAGGCGATTTGTTAATAGGCATATTCACGGATCATAAACCTTAAGAGAAATATTAAATGTGTGTTACAATACAAATGCACTTATGGTAGGAAGTAATACATGTCATTGCAAATTTGTGATTTGTAGAAAAGGGTAGCAAGAAGGAAAATTGGGCTTAAGAACAAAAGCATATCAAGGAAGAATTTAAACTTAAATCTCATCCACCTAGGATTTGAATCTAATTTTGTTTCTAAAACCTATATCCTTCCTATTAAGTTACTTATCCATTCATAAAATACCTAGTCTTCATTATACTTCAGCAGTTTCATCAGCAAAACCAACTGAAAAAAAGCATGGTATGATGTAAGGGGATGGGCTATGTAACCAGACTAATTTACTTCAGTAAAGGCTGTGTGCCTCAGTTTCCTCACCTGTAATATAGACATAATATATCCATATAGATTTCCTGTAGGAAATAAATAGTTTAATATATGTAATTTACTTCAAATAGAGCCTAGCATACAGAAGGCTTTGCATAAGTGCTCACGATTGTTAGTAGTCACTTTGTTTCCTGTTTTCTAAGGTCACTCAAAGTTCTTTTTATGTTCTCTGTCTCTTTATTATTATTATTATTATTATTATTATTACTATTTTAGAGATTTTTTTCTATAGGGTGCATGTGGTCTCCAGAGAAACAGAAAATGAGAAATCACCCCCCGGGGGGGGGGATGGCCACACCATAATCCTTTCTCCTCCATTCTCCTCTCAGATTCTGGGATTCTGAGCATACACACACACACACACACACACACACACACACACACACACAAACACACCATGCGGGAGTTTTAAGCCACTGGGTCTGAGACTCAGATCGCAGTCAACCATGAGGGAGTCCAGCAACATAACCATCATGCTACCTGCTGGTCGTGTCTCTGGTCTTTCTGCCATTATATTATGCTTTCTCTGCTTGCTCCACACCCAGATTTTTTTCCTATTGATGTATATCTGAGCATATTTTATGAGTGTATGACCAAAATTAGGACATAATATTTGTGTTGAATGGTGTGTTTAATCAACAAAACAAATAAAATGGGAAGTTGTACTAAATTGTTTCATGTTGCATTTTTAAGATGGCTAATTTAAAAACTGATCATAATACTGGGACCAGCAGATGGCTTAATGGTCCCAGTATTGTGGGGAATCACATGATCAACCGCTGTTCAAGTCCCGGACCCGGAGGCTTGAAACTCATGCCAGGCACAAGTGCGTGCATCCCCAAAATCACAAGAGGAGAATGAAGGAGAACGGATATTGGCGTGGCCATCCCCCCTGGAGGTGATTTCTCGCTTTCTGTCTCTCTGTCTCACTCTCTCTCCAGTGAGCACATGTGCCCCACAGCAAAAATCTCTCTTAAAAAAAAAAACTGATTATGATATCAATCAAAGTTTTGGCAGAAAAAAATAGGGCACACTCCAACAGAGTAACGGAATGAAGATCTTTCTAAAGACAGGGGGGCAGAGCAGAGCTTTGAAAACAATGGCAGTTCCAGGAGGCAAAAGCAGGGGCCCTGGCAAGAAGAGGTGAACTACTACCACTTAGGACTGAAGGAGAAAGCAGACCCAGAAAGAACAGCTGGAGGAGTGGTGCTTAATAAAAAGCTTTGGCCTTTGGTAGAGATACATAGCTAGTCAGAGGCTGCATCTGAGAGGGAGCCTGGAGAATAGGAAAAATAACTAACCTCACTCCTCTCCCACACTCCTCACAAACACCTGCTAGTACTCACATTAGCAGAACCAAACCAGAAGACAGAGGCCAAGAGAAAAGTGGCGAGGGACAGAAAGTATATCTTAGGGACATGGGGAAAATATCCAGACAATAGATGACAAACACAAAACGTCATTATCTACTGTTACTGGTTATAGCAAGGTCTGCTTCTAATAATCCACATTGATTAAAATGGAAAGCAAATGCATTTTCAAGTCAGCCACTGTGCTGAGCTATATAGAGGGATGTCATTCAGAGTTGGTCTAATTTTAGTTAAAAATTCAAGCTATTTCCAACCAGGATTAATAATTTCAAAGGTCTTTTTGTTTGTTTGTTTGTTTAATAGCTAGCAAAATCACATCAGATATTCCCATCTTAAAAGGCACTCAAAAGGGGCCAGCAGGGGACCAGCAGTTAGTGTAATGCTATGTCGCTGGACTCCCACGTAGTCGACCACGGTTTGAGTCTCGGACCTGGTGGCTTAAACTCAACGCCGGGCGCGTGTGCGTGCGTGCCCAAGATCCCGAGAGGAGAAGGGATTGTGGTGTGGCCATCCCCCATGCGGGGTGATTTCTCGCTTTCTGTCTCTCTGTCTCTCTCTCTCTGGCTGGCGAGCACACACGCCCTATAGCAAAAACCTCTCAAAAAAAAGGGGGGGGGGGCAGCAGGTGATGTGGTAATTAAGGCACTGGACTCCCACGTGGACAACTATAATTCGAGTCTCAGACCTGGGGCTTGCTTTATTACTTTCTCTCTCTCTGGTGAGCACACATGCCCTATAGAAAAATTTTAAATAATAAAAATAATAAATAATTCTTAAAATAAATAAGGCACTCAAAAAATTCACTGCAAAGTTATTTTATAATGAATGCATAGCAACATGCACATCTGCATAGATGGCCTAAAATTTTGAACCACAATCAAGAAGTAAAACTATGCAGAGTAGTTATACACCTAGATGTAAATGCTGCAAATTAAAGACAGAATTGTAAGTCATCTAGAATTATGAAGTAAAGAAGTTTGAAGCAACTAGGTACAGACAACATCTTAGACCTAGCTATGGTGGCACAGGTGATAGAGTGCTGCTGTGCAGTACTAAAACCATAGGGGAAGGTTTAGGGTTCAGGTCCCACATGGACCTGAACATAATGGTTTCTCTCTCTCATAACAAAACATTAAATTAAATTAAATTAAATTATATAATGACCTTTTAAAAAGTTATTTTTTTAAAAAAAAGAAGACATCCTCAAAAGACGATGAAAAGAAATCCATGAGAGTATAAGGGCAAGCCCACCATTCATAAACCATTGCGTATTTCAGAAACATAGTTTAGAAATACAAATCTGAGTCAGGCCTAGTCTTAGATAATTATTCAAAACATTTAAGGCAAAATGGATGGCATGGAAAATATATAGGCCACCTAGGGGGAAAAATAATTGAAGGGAAATTGAATTAAAGGCCAACTGGTCATTTGTTTGCTTTATGTTAGGCATATTGACCTAGAACTTTGGCTATTTCCTGAACTCTTTCATAAGATTGACTATGATTGGTCATATTTTTTGAGTTTTTAATAAATTGGAGACTAATTGTTTAAAAATTCTCTCTCGATCCCTGAACCAGCTGTCTTATGATTTCTCACATGTGCTGCTCATCATAGCAGGTATTTGCACCATGTGTTCGATGCAGGAGTTCCACAACACCCTGTCAAGGAGATTTCCCAGACCAATAAGGAGAAAAATCAAATTGCCATGAAAGTTTCCAAAGGCTTATTCTCAATTTTTAATAGTATTGGTAACTAACCAAGACTAATTTGCAGACAAACCACTATTTGAGAAAGGTTGTGACATTCAAGAGACAAGTTGTACCCCCTAATGTCTTATTAATTAGGATTGTTTCAACAATAGAGAGCAACTAAATAATCTCAAATTTCAAAAAAAGAAAAAGTGAATTCCTTCAGAAATATTTCTTTTTGAGGGGAGGGGACGTTTTTGGTATGGGGCATGTGCGCTTGCCAGAAAGAGAGAGACAGAAAGACAGAAAGCGAGAAATCACCCCCCAGGGGGATGGCCATGCAGTAAACCCTTCTTCTCCCTTCTCCTCTAGGGATCTTGGGCACGCACGCATGCATACGTGCCCGGCATGAGTTTAAGCCACAGAGTCTGGGACTTGAACCACAGTCGACTACATGGGAATCCAGTGACACAGCCATTACGCCAGCTGCTGGTCCCCAGAAATATTTCTTATAGAGAGGTTGCCATTAAATCTTCAGTGGAGTGAATAAACAGAAAATAAAAATCCAAGTGAGGTAACCTCCTAGTAGAAACATAAAATCTGATGTCATCAACTTGAAAAACATTTAGTTCCTTTCTAAAAAAATTCATCAAATTTTAGCAGAGTCCAAAACTTGAAGATATAAGCAAAGGGATGGTTATCATTCTTATCAATAGTGCAAGTGCAATAGAGCCATGCCACAAGGTATGTTGTTTTAAGACTGGTTTTAAAACTCCAACACTAAGTATATAAAAATCTGAAAAAATGCTATAATAATAATTTTTTAAAATGCTGGTAAGGCTGTGGTGAAAGGGGAACTTATCTACATGGCTGATGAGAATATAAATTAGTACAGCCACTGTACAAAATTACATGGAGGTTCCTCAAAAATTTACAAATAGAACTACCATGATCTCACTTCTTGGTATTCATCCAAAGGCCAGGAAAACTGTCAGAAAGAGAAACTTGCATATCCATGCTTATTGCAGCATTATTCCCAATTGCTAAGTTATAGAATCAATCTAAATACCCAATAACTGATAACTGGATTTAATAAATGTGGCACATGTACACTATGGAGTACTACTCAGCCATGAGGAACAATTTAACTCTGTCATTCAATACGAAGTGAATGAATCTAGAACATTTAACGCTAAGTGAGAGCCAGACTATAAAAGACAAACACCATATGTTCCCGCTCAATATATACCAGACATCTGCACTGAATGGAAGAAACAAAGATTTGCAGACATAAGAGCAGGGAGGACAAGCGTAGATACCAGAGACTGTATGGGAGGGGACTGGATTGCAGAGGGCTGTAGGAGGAGCGCCATAAAATATTTAACAGATGAAAAATGTAAAGGTTCTTGTTGAAAATGATGTACATAGTAGTATTTCTAATTTTTTTAGAGGTTTTTGCCTTAGGTCATGTGTGCTTACCAGAGAGAGAGATACACAGATTGGGGGAAAGTGAGAGATCACCCCCTGGGGGAATAGCCACTCTGCAATCCCTTCTCTCCATT